GCCATGGATGTCTGTGTGTGCTTTTGTTGGTGCAAGTGTATGTAACCATTCTAAACTATAATATACGTCACCAAATAGCAGTACTATGTACTTATGGTCTATTTTGGGTGAGTTTGTAACCTAAGAACTGCTTCTTATGTGGTCACTACAGGGTTTTGGGGGGAGTTCAAGTTCGGCAAAAATCTTGCCTGACTGAAAGCTGTGTGTGTGTGTGTGTGTGTGTGTGTGTGTGTGTGTGTGTGTGTGTGTGTGTGTGTGTGAATAAGTGTGAATGGCTTCTTTGTGAGATCAGCCCTGTTAAGATTTCAAATTCTTGTAGGAGAAGGGCAGGGTGAGAAATATACTATGAATCTGGGGTCTGCAGATTAGTTACATGTATATGAGACAAACAAAAATTTAAACTCTCTTCTTTTCATTTTCATCACTTTTTGTATATATAACCAAGTGCAATCCAATAAATGCCCTTGAGTAGGGGCTGCCCCATACTGTGCATTGTAATCCTCATCCCCTTACATCACTGTTGAGACTCCAAACACATGCAACACACCGAAGTCATTTAGAGTTTAGTGATTCAGGGGGAGATTATAATGCAAGCCATTTAGTACAGTCTTTGAGTGTAGCAATTTGGAATCTGAATGAACACTTTTACTAGCTATAAATGTGTTTTTGATCTAGTTTGTTTGACATATACTGAGACCCTTTGGTTGCCAACACTTTACTCTTGGTAAAAATATAACATTAAACAAATTTACCATGCCTAAGAGGAAATGCCTGTTCCCCAAATCTGAGTTAAGTTACTAACATGTGTCACACCAAATCAGGCTGGAAGGTAAAGTCAGATAGAAACATCAATCCTTAAAGCAGGTTTAATCCAAGACATTGCGTTGGTGTAAAAGTAGCATTAGACAGATTATCTAAACAGCTCTCACCCTCAGTTTCAACAAACATGCAAATGTTAAATGTGTGGATGTGTGTCAGCATGTCAGAACAGGTTATTGTGTTTCGATTGATTAGCTTTCCTGGGTGTAACCTCGCTGTAGAGGGTGGGTCGGACAAATCAACACACACAAACACTCAAGAGAGCCTGAAAGGAAATTAGTGTCTGTACAGGATGGTGAATTCCTCCTCTGACCCTCACCTACTGAATACACATATAGGGATCAGGCACATAATTATTCAGTGAGAGGACAAAGGAGATGGATTTTCTTTACAAAATCTGTCTTGTCTTAGCACAGTATAAAGGTCTGTATCATTATGACAACCTACACTATGTGGTGTCTTTGCCTAAGAAAATGGTTTGACATACTGGGTCAGTCTAGTAATCATGTCTGGTATGGAGTTGTACAGTATCTGTAGTGAGGACAGTATTACATTATAATCAAATATTTGTCTCTACTAATTCAATGCTGCATTTTCTAGGGCTATTGTACTTCCTCTAGACATGATATCAAAGGAACCCCATGGTCATTAGTCATTCTTTTTAGTGCATCTTCCTATTGTCATTTTCAGTAAGTGATGTTTTTCTCTTGTGCGTATATGTGTTCCCACACACATGAATCTGTCCAACTGTGAATGCTCTAAACAGAGGATGTGTGACCCTCTCAGTACAAAGGGTCTTTCTACAGAGATCATGCTCCACTCCCTTCCCACCTACTCCAACTGGCACTGCCAGTAAGTCACGAGAAAGAGATGTCTGCATTGAACTTGGAGAAGAATGTGTCACTTGTCGCACACTCAATTTGTGGTTTCACATCTTGTGACAAGAATTTTTATCAGTCACATTTGAATAATGTGATACTTTATGTGGTACCTCAGTCAAGGGTTTTCATAACAGTTTCCTGATGAGATTTCCATATGTAACAGACACATAATGGAGAAAGCAGTCCCACAACTTTTAGGATTTTGCCCCAGGGGAATTAGTACAGAACGGTGCAACATAGAGAGGGTTTATATTATGGTTTTACCTCTGCAAAAACACTCTAGAGGGTGTAACCTGTGTTTTTATAACATCATGCCCTCACTGTTGTATTTTGAAGTGAAATCATTAAAATCTCTACCTCAGTCCCTACTTATAATAGTTTTGTAGCTCATACTCCAGTTATCCAGGGTAACTTATTATGCGTCAGTGTATTTATCAAGAACGGTTTGTTTCTCCGGACAGTGGCCTAAGTTTAAACCATATCTGATGTCCAAGTAACATTTTCAAGATAACCTGAGTCTTGATTAAAAGTCCTAAGTCTTGACACTGACTGACACCTGAATGAAGTTACACAGAATTACCGTTTAGTGTAAGTATAGACATCTGTGTTTGTCCAGATGCATGTTTCTAGCCTTTTCATACTAGTCTGTTTACCATCAAATGCTTCTAATAATCACCTTGAGTCATACTAATGCCCCAAAGAAGCCGAGGTTACCCAACCACCCACGCTCAGCCCTACTCTGCTCTGTGCTTCTCTACGTAAAACAGTGTGCTGACGATAAAGCTGATTTATCTGTGTTGGCTCATCACCCACCAGTTTGGAAGACATACAGATACGAGCATGCACACACACACTCTCACTCCTCTCACCAGTCACATGCTTTCTTTTCTTCCCTTCTCTCTCTTTTTCACCCCCACATAACCACACACACACACTTACTCCTTGAGCGTCAGAGGGCCCCATGTATGTCAGAGCTTTATCCAAACACAGCTACGGTTGCTACATGCTACAATTATTACCAGATGGACTTGGGGAAAAACATATTAAGTCTGCTTTTTCATTAGCGTACTGCAAAACCCTCCTGTAAGACACAGAGCAAGAGAGAGGGAGAGAGACGTGACAAAAATTGTACTTATTTCAAATATCAAGTTGAGTGTAACTGAGTGGTTGTCCCTGATGGTTGTATATTTTCTAAGAATTTCCTTCCATTTATTTTTCTGTGAAGCAAAAAAT